CTTTAGTTTTACTTCAACTATTCTTGAATAAATTAAAATTTTAAGTATTAAGTTAAATTTATATTAATAGAATATTATATGATAATTAATTTTTTTGACTGATTATCAAATAAATTTATCCTATTATTATCTTTAATTTGATGATAATTTAATTTTGAGCTGACTCTTAAAACTAATCTGAAGTTATTTCTGATTTAACTTTAAAATTGGTTAAAAATGATTTGTAACTTAAAAAAACCTAGAATATGCTAAAATTATAATAAGTTCTAAAACTAACTCAAAATTGCTCTTTTTGAATTGTCTTTATTTTTAATTAATATATAAAAAAGATGTATAAAGTTATTAGTAAATATATACTGATTATTTATGAATTATATTAATATTATTCAGAATTTTAAAATATTAAATACTTTTCAGATTTTAATTTTTTGAAGAAAAATATATTTAATTTTTCCTATTATTTTTTGATATGTAAAAGCAAAATAATCAATCATTTTATAGACCTTTCTATTTTTTTTTCATAATTAAATTTATAAATACATTCTATATAACCAGCTTTTAATTCTTCTTTTATATCAAATATTCCTAAATATTAAACTTTTATCTTCCTATCTTTTTATTATTTTTTTTAATATATTAAGTATATTTAATATATTAAAAAATAATTCATCATTATTAAAAATTCATTCATAATGAAATCACTATTATGAAAATATCATATACGTAAAATCTATTATTCAGAAATTTGATTATTATCTAATTTTATACATATAATTATTTTAAAAATAAATAATTCTAATTAGAGATAAATTTTAGATATTAAGCTAACTAATTTTGCTTAATTTTTTTATATAATTAAAAAATAATAAATAATTATTAAAAAAATATTAGTTATCAAAAATTGGTAAAAAAAATTTTATTTCAATAGATTTTTATAATAATTTTTTTTTTGATGTAGCATTGTCAGTAACTTTATTAAATTTATATATAAAAAGATACAAAGTAAATCAAAATAAATCTATATTAAGTACTAGCTATCTCCTATAGTTATATTGTAAACCCATTTAAATTAACCAATCATTATCTTTCTCTCTATTAATCTCACTAAGTATATATCTAATGAAAATTGTTATCAACAAGAGAAGAAAAAGAAAAAGTTAGTGTCTATCTAAAAATCTGAGAATGCATAGTCAAATTTGTTCACTAGGTGTATTTAATTTTTCCAATAATAGGAGAGACTTGATATTTGTTTATGTGACAAGAATGAACTGGCATCCTATTTAAGCTTATCTTTTTTAGTGATATCCAATGACTGTTTTTTAGCGATGATTAGATTATAATAGTATTTCCAAATGTCATTAAATATTTTTTAATTGAAGATTAGCATTGATTAGAATATAATAGAAAAACTTCTATCCTTATTTCTGATAACTTTGTAAACAATATTCATAAAAGATGTAGGAATAATGGATTGAATGATATTGATATATCTGTTAGATTGGGCTGAAGGTGATGTGAAAATGTGGTCTAAAGTTTCTAGAAAATCCATTTGGTATACTATGTATTTGATACTATTCAAGTTGTAAACACATTGAACTAAGTCATCTTTAGTAGTTTTGATTGTTTATCATTTTAGAGAAGTAGGCTGAACATTCTCAGATATGTGCAAGAATCTCAGTAGTAATACCGCAACCTATACAACACTAATTTTTGTATAAATCAGAACATAAAAAGAAAAGTTGTAATAGTGAAGATAGCTTATTAGTGAAGTTTTTAATGATAAATAATTTAAGTTTGCTTAAGACAAAGGATATAATGAAGGAGAATGTATCCATAAACATCAGAGACCAAATGGCAAACTAATTGATAGACTTATTTATAGTGAGGGTTCTGAGACTATAGTTTCTGTTTAAATCCAGGAAATTACTAAAAGTCTGTATCGTAAAGAATCGTTTGAAGAAATCTCAGATAGATACTTCAATAGAAATATTATTGAAACACAATAGGAATTCAGATGAAGGAATGTTATTAAAAGCTAAAGATAATGGAGGCGTTGAGCATCCTTTTTTGCTAATTTATCTACTATTTCATTATAAATGTTTCCTATTTGTGTTTTGATTTTATGAAGTGAAACATAGAGATTGAGGTAATCAATAATGTATTAAATAAGCTTTCATATCGTATAGTTAGAAATCTTAACAAACTTTCGTATTGATAATTGATTATGAGATACGTAATTATTGAATCTATAGATGGTAGTCTGGCTGTCTAGGTAAATGTTCACAGCCACTTTTTTAAGGAATACTATAAGAGTCATGAAAAGGATGTATATTTTAACTCATATTGAAGAGGGTCAGTTTTCTAGTAAAGCTTTAAAAGAATGATGAATATTTGTAGAATCAATATATATTTTCTCTAATTTCATTTTATAAGTGTCTGTTTGAGATCTAATTAAAGAGCTATCAGTATAAAATGTAACTAATGAGATATAGGAAAGGGTGGTTTGAATATATTTGAGCGATATGAAATATATTAAAGTTCAATAAGAAGATCAACAATATTGTCTAAAAGCAGATCTGTTAGAGTATAGGCAATTTATGCATCATAGAAGTTTATATATATAATTTGAATAATCTCTAAAAATAAGTGTTTGAGCTGATTTTTGAGCGTATGTGATTGTTTAGATACCAGTTAAACCTTGAAGACACTTTCACAGGAAATGCTAAAAGTGCAATGCTCAAATCTATTCTGTGTAAAGAGTGGATATCCAGTGCATTTGAAAAGTTGACTGATGTTGTTGTTGTTGTTGAAACAAATAAAATGTAGATAAATGAACTGAGTATTGTTCGAGACTTTGTCTATGATTTGCCTAAAGAAAGAAGCATTAAGTACTGAGTTCTATAAGGAAACAAATTCTTTCTTCTGATAATTCAAGATAAGCATATGAGAAACGTATCTGTAATATGTATGGTAAGGGTGAAGCTAGTCTAAACTCAATTTTGAATATTCTATATACATGATCATCTAAGACAAGATTTTCTATAAAAAAAATCAGTTGAACCAAAACATTTTAAAATATGATCAAAATCTTTAAGGAGAAAATTGAATATCATAATTAGTTAATAGCCTGAAAGAGAGATAAGTTGATCTAAATAAAATAAGTTATAATTAGTAAGTACTTTATTATATTTGATTAGAAGACTGATAGAAAGAATTTTAGAGATGGGTTGGATGTTCCTTATAATTCGATTCATAAGGAGAGAGATATTGAAAAAGAGTTTTAAAGAGGTGGAATTAATGAGTAAAAGGAAGACATTAATTAAATTTTTAAAGAAATATTTGTTAAATGAGTATGATCAATAATTTAATGGGAATGTAGCAAGAACATTATGTAATTGTAATTAGAAGAATCAGATTAAGAAAATATTCTTGTAAAGGGTAAAATTGTTAAATTAGTAAATGAAAGTAGTTGAAAGTGATTTGATTTAAAGTGACTAGAGGTTATTTAAATTATAAAAGTGTTTAAAATTTAACAAAGTGTTAGGGAGGATAGAAGCAAATTGATTTTTATATTTGAAAAGTAAACAAAGGAATGCGAAAAATTTGAGATATTCTTTTTTCAAAAGTGGTGTCAACTGCATATAATATTCTAGCAGAGAATACAGCACTATATTAATAATATATGAGAATTGTTTATCTGTTAAAGGTTTATATCACATGAAAGCAGTAAATCAGTTTACATTAAAGAATATTTTTTTTGACGAAAGTTTGTGATTGTTGACTATTAATCCATACCTCCAAAAATGAACTAAACTAATTTCAGGGATAATATTGAGTGTGGTCAAACCAAATTTGATTGGAATAGACGGTGTGTTAACGCGAAAAGTAATCAGTAGTTTGGATTTGTTTTTGTTTAATGCAAATCTTGTGAGATTATAAAATTTATCTGCAACTTGTAAAATATCTTCAAGGTCTTGTCTAGAACTAGTGATCCAATTTGTATTGTTCATGAAAGCTAGTGAAGAAACAAAGGCCATCATTATTTTGGTATTTATAATAGTAATATCAGAGGTCTAAGTATGCTTAATTGTGTATCCTTTATTGAGAGTAGCTACTTTACAGAGTAACGGGTCTAAGTAGATGCATCACACCAGGGGAGATATAACTTCACCTTGATCAATTCTGATTTTGACATCATAAAGGTCTAAGGTTCTATGCATAGTAAACACAGTATTTTTTTTTGAAGTAAAGAGATTAATTATGAGATCAGTTGCCAGTTGAGAAACTTTTATTCTATTGAGGGCTAAGCAAAGGTAAGATAAATCAACCTAATCATACACTTTAGAGAGGTCTTGAAGCAAGATCAAAATATCCTTATTATTTTCGATAACATCCTTCAGTAACATATTTACAATTTTTATTGGTAGTTCAGTTGATCCTCCTGACAGTCCTGCAAAATTTCCTCCTTTGAGAATGTTATTGTTGGCTAAGATATGTGAGAGTCTATTGATAATTATTTTAATCAGACCTTTATGAGCAGTTTCTAGGAGAGTGATAGGTCTCATCAAAATACAGAAATGTTTGTTCACCATCTAATAGTAACAATTGTAAAACGTGCTCTCTCTTAATCTCGATTGGTGCGATAAATTCAAATGCAGCAAATATAGCAGAAAGGTCCGGTATACCAGCGATAAGAACTGGTTGTCTCGAAAATTCATAGTCTGGCAAAAGAACGTTTAAAACTTGACAAATATTTCTATAAAAAGCATTGCGAATATCCTCTTCATTAATACAAGACGAGAAGTTGCTAAATTGTGGTCTTTCAAATTTCGGTTCATCAAAATGAAACTTATTAACTTCTTCAAAAAGATCATCCCAAAGACGAGTCTCCGTTGGAAATCGATCACCTGAATATATAGTATTCTGTGAAGTAATAACATTTTGATGATACCCAATAGGTAACGGAATACATGATAATGCTTGTTCTTGACTAAGAAGCCCTAAAAAATAGCCTTAGTTACTACAAAAATAAATGCTTTAAAAGATAATAAGATTAAACTATTTTTATGATTGAACCTACTTTGCTTATTTAACTCAATGATAAGATTCGCAAGATCTTCAGTCGGTCCTCCAGGAAATTTATAAGGATCGGCAAGAAGTTTTTCTCTGGTCAGATGAAGAAATTGACGACCATTAACCCTTTCTCTACGAAAAATTTTATATTCTTTCTTCTTAAGACCAAAGTTCTTTGTTTGTAAAAAATGGATAAGTTCATCAGTGTCAAATCTTTCAACATCCTCGACCGTAGTAGTATTACTGGTAGACATGTTTGAAAAAATATATCGTGGGACAAAACCAGCAGTTGTACAATTTCAGAAAAAAAGCAACAAAAATGTGATATATGATCGCGCAAATGATCATATACTGCGCCCGAATTTTGCTGTACCGTTGCATGTAGAGTGATAGTTGACATATCGCTTTTATAGGGATATTTGCTCGGATAAAAAAATGGTGGTGTTACGTTCAGAGAAAAAAATAGAGGTGGAAATGCGAGTGTTAATATAGTTTTTTTATGTCACGCAGGCATTGTATTATTACACGTGACTTTTTACGAGGAATACAATATATCGATGCTTTTTATTAATGAAATAAAATGTTGCTGAAGCAACAACTAACTGATACAAAAATAGATTCTTATAAGTTACACGATATAAAAGAAACTTTTCCAGAGCAACTGATACATAAAAAATTGCCCGCCCGCTGGAGTGGAGGTTCATTTTTCACCTTATGAATTATAAGACCATTAAACGCCAACTTCACCCGAATGAGAATAAAAATCAATTGGCATTTTAATTGTTTACGCAATTATGATTTAATGATACGTAAATTTTATTATTTTTTATTATTATAAAAAGAGAATCTAATGCTCTTTTACTATAGTGAATGGTCACAATTACAAACTTTTTAAATATTAATTTAAACCTTACTTTTTAAATATTTAAATATAAACCTTTGATTTATTTTTTTCTCTCGGAAGTTTTTTTTTCACTGCCTTTTCATTCTATTCAAGAAAACGTTCCGGATCATAAAAAAAAAAAAAAAAAAAAATAAATATTATTACCGCAACGTAATTTCAATTTTTGAAAGATGAGGGAATTGATTAAAATCGCACAACAAACATATAAAGATCATTTTAATGACCAATTTAAACGGCAGTTTAGAGAACAAACAAGGTTCGAACCCATTTATTTTTTTTTTTTTTCCTTGGGTTACAAACGATAATTGGGTACGCACTTTATTTTTTTTTGTGTAATGATAAAAATATGTATGCGCTTTTACGCCAGATTTTCGATATCGGAAAAAAATTTATAACTTTTTCTCCACGATTTTGCATTAATATTAAATATTCACAATTTTCATATTTTTCCCATAAATTTTTTTTTTTATAATTAGAGTTGCCATGAATAGAATTTTAGCATTATTCAAAAAAGATAATGGAGGAGAAATTACTTATCCATTAGAATTAGAAAAATCTTATAGAATATTAAAAAAAGTTTTAGGAGTAGGTACTTTTGCTGTTGTAAAAGAATGTGTTGATAAAAGAACCGGGCAATCCTATGCTTTAAAGGTTCTTGCCAAGAAGGCAATAAAAGGTATGTATAAAATTCTCACCTATTATACTTTTTTTTTTTCCAATGTGCATTGACTTTTGATTTTTATATAGGAAAAGAGAATATGTTAACCACAGAATTGGATGTATTAAAACAAGTCAATCATCCAAATATTGTGCAATTACACGATCTTTATGAATCAAATGAAGGTGTATATATTATAACAGATTTAGCCAGCGGCGGAGAATTGTTTAATCAATTATTACTAAAAGGTTCTTATACGGAACAAGACGCCGCGAATTTGGTAAAACAAATATTAGAAGGCGTTGCCTACTTACATGATCATGAAGTAAGTTAAAAGTAACGAGTGATTTTATTTGTGAGATTAATTTTTTTTAATTTGATCATTTAATGTTATGTAGATAGTGCATAGAGATTTAAAACCCGAAAACCTTTTGTTTAAGGATAAATCGGATGACTCAAAGTTGATGATTACAGATTTCGGTTTATCAAAAATTTTGAAAACCGATAATGATGTATTAATGACCGCATGTGGAACACCAGGGTAAATCATACTATTTAAAGAAGTTAATCAGTTGAAAGAGCGATCGCATTAACATGTATTTCTTTCTTTCTTTCCCAAATATAGTTACGTGGCTCCTGAAGTATTATTACAAACGGGGCATGGTAAACCCGTTGATATCTGGAGTATAGGTGTTATAACGTACACGTTATTATGCGGATATACACCATTTTGGGGTGATGATCAAGCCACATTATTTGAAAATATTATGTCCGGTGTGTATGATTATGACGAAGATTATTGGTCAGAAATATCAATGAAAGGTAGGTAACCTTTAAAGAAAATTCTCTTATATACCAAGAATCATTTAATAACTTTGCCTTTGTGATTTATTTAGCCACGGATTTTATTGATAGGATGTTGACGTTTGATCAATCAAAACGCGTGACAGCACATGAAGCGTTAAATGATGAATGGTTCAAGTCTGCTGCCGACGTTGATATTTTAGAAAACGTAAGGAGAAATTTTTCTGCAAAAGCAACGTTTAGAAAGGCTATTAATCTTGTACAAGGTGTTAACCGCATGACTCGCATGCGTAAACATCTCAAACACGGTGATGAAAATAATGTTGAAACGGGTGATCGACAACTTTTGAAGGAAACTGAGCCTGAAAAGGAAAAGTGACGAATGAATTAGCTCGAATATAAAAAAAATTAGAAAGGAATAGATGTGAATGAATTGTATTTTTATTTTTAGGATTTGCAAGCATTAATTATAAATGGCAATGTCCGATATCGTGTAAATTATATATATTAATGATTTGACACATTATAAGTAATTTGTTTAATCTCTCTTTAATAATAATAAAAATATTTCTAAAAAATATAATTTTTATTGTAATAATAATTAATGTAAGGATGTAAAATGATTTCCAATAATAAAGAAAATGACAAAAAGGGTAAAGTTAGTCTATGATGATGATGTGGATGATGAATAATTATTATGTACAAAATTAAAAATTAAAATGGAAGTATGGAGGGGGTTTTTTTTAAAGTAAATTTGATTGCAGCTGGACTAGCCTTTCAATGCTTGAGTATCGGAGATAACACGTGGTTCATAACTCCGACCATTAATTGTACTTGTTGTAATCGTAGATGTTATGGTTGAGGTTTGCGTAGTTGTATTTGTTCCAGCTTCAAGCTCTGGCGGTTCGATCCATCCATTTGGTACAACACCTTTTGATTAAACGAGTTGAAATGCAAGTTACAAAGATATTATTCGGTTAAAACAAATGGTTATTACATCTTTATGTTATACCTCTAATATTTTACATTTTTTTGTACCTCAACGTTTGTCATGGAAGTTGTGGTAGGAACAAGTACTTCACTAGCAAATAATTTTTCCATGGAACTCATTATCCAATTATTAGAATGAATACCTGATTTTAATTTTGATATTCATAATTGTATTCGTGGAAATTTGAGGTAACTAAAAATCTTAAGGTACAACATAGAAAAGATGTAATGTATGGAATTTGAAAGTAAAACCTACATGGAAAGAAGGTTCCTAATTTGGCGGCTCTGTTTATCCAATCTAATAAATATATATTTTTTAATTCAGAGATTTAATCTAAAAAAAAAAAAACCCTTCTAATCCTTTGTTTACTTACTTGGTGCGGGCTTACCAACCAACCGGCTACATAATTCACTCGAGTAATGGTTGCAATTTCTAAAAAATGACCATAAGAATAATAATAATAAAATTTTGTTAAATCAAATTGGCCAATTTTTCAACTTGCATTTCAAAAAAAAATAAAACAAAATAAAACCTCGTGAGTAAATTATAACTATTTCCGCGCCATTCGATTGATAGCTCATCAATGACATTTTTTATCTCTTCCTTATCCAATGTTGTATATCCCATTGCAATGGATTCTCTACAAAAAGAACATTGAGCATTTCGCATAAAGAATTATTCAAAAGGTTTTGAGAAAAACTTACTTAAATGTTACATTCGGTGGACCAATTTTTGGCCTCATTACAAAAACTCCAGTAAAATCATAATCATGACCTCCAAAATTGTATTCCCTTCCTAGAATTTCTACACCGGAATGAAATACTCCAACTCCAATTCTATAACCGATATCTGTGATTTTTCCCCTCGGTAACTATAAAAATACTCGAGTATAAGCCTTTCATTCTTTCAAGTTCTATTAATACCTTATCAACTTACCATATCATATACGTTCAAATATACCTGTATCAAATGAATAATTTGTTTATATATATATATTTTTCAAAAGGAAAAAATAAATAAGGAAATAAAATACCGGAATATGTTGTTCTCCGAATAATGGAAATTCGCTGGAGTCGACAATAGAACTCATTTTTTAAATAATGTTTTGTAAAAAAAAAAAATAAAATAAAATAAAAATTTAAAAAAAACAAAAAATAAGAAAAATTGGTGTGATGGAAAATTTGGTTTGCCATTTATAACTTTTTTTTTTTTTATCGCTATGACTTTTTATAGCTCATTTAGGAATAGATCGTAATAATTTAATTAGGAATGTACCAATGTAAATAACATGCAACAAGGTGTCCAACAACAGTTGATAACTGTTGATATCGTAATACATTATTGCCGATATTAAAGTTCTCCGTACCAATCAAAAATCTCTCAAATTCTAATCCGAAGAAACTCAAATTTTCAGATCAACGGATGATCTTGTAGATGAAATTGAATGACAAACAAACTTTAATTGGATCTCATATAAATTACATCGCCTGTCTATTTATACGTTTTTTAACGACAAATGCGCGCGAATTTATCTTTTACTCTTCGACGACCGTTTATTTTTAATGCTAATCTACAGCGTATTATTCAAAAACAATGTATTTTTCAACAAACTTTACGACGACCCTTAAGTACTTCACTAAAACCAGAATGCTTTGTCGAAGATTTGGAAGGTGAAGATAAAGGTATCGCAAATTTCGTAGTAAGAGACTTTAATTAAAAATGTCCAAATAAATTATTAAACTTAATTGATATATAATTAGGAATTTCTATAATAAATCTTAATCGTCCAACTACAAAGAATGCTTTCTCAAGAAAACTTGTAAGAGAATTTATTGACGTTGTGGACAACTTAAGAAATAAAAGGTTACTCAAAATTCTTGTTTAACTCGTCATCCAC